AAAGGTGGAGAAAAAACTTTTAAGTCTCAGGTATTCATTTCTGCTGTGACTTGAACACTAATCGTCCAATTTCCACTCTTAATCAATCTTTAAGCTGGAAGAAGGTGAAGCCGAAAAGAATCAAAGGAAAGTTTTCCGTGAGTCGTAACAACAGCCTACCTTCTTGACTGTCTGCTCAATAATTCATAACTATCTGAAATTCGATATCGATCAGCATTCAGTCAGACGTGAAACGGGAGACGATTGATAAGTCACAGGTCGTGATACGTATATCTTATTTAGCTGTATCACTTATATAATATTTGAAGTGAATTTTATATTTTAAATTTTATTTTGCTGCAGTAGTGTTTCCACATCATATCTTCAAAATCTCGAGCTAGAAAAGAAAAATAAAATATATTTAGATTATGAATACGTAATAACAATTCCGGTCTTGTTAGAATTCTGTATCTAGGAATTTCCAAGTAAGTGAACATAAACGCTTGAAAGTCTGGTCATATACGTAGAGAAAAGCACAATATTCTGATATATTCAAATTTTGACAGTATTTACTGAGAGGTTCGCTTCTTCAGTCATCTTTAAAAGATATCTTACCTTGTAACATTACTCAAAGAGGAGCAGACTGGCTTGTGGTCGGGAGGAACTCTGCTGAGTGTAGACCAGGATACATCACAAGTTTTTTCATTGTCCTTTTCTATCCTTTCATGCGAAATTCTAGATATCACCTTGAAACAAATCACAATCGGTTCCTTTTCCATCTTTTACACCCCGAGTATAATCACTAATTTACTCTTAATAAGCAATTAATTGCTTATTAATTATTAATTAATAAGCATCAATTGCTTACTTAAGCAATTGATGCAACGCCATTACATAATTTAGGAAGCAATAAAATGAATTAAGAAGCAAATTTGTCCTAATAGATTTACATCATGCATTACGAGGTGTGACAATTTCGCGAACTCGCCTACGTGTGCTTGCCGTGGGAACAGTGGACAGAACCTCAGTATGGTTTGATTACGTTGGCATATCAGCGTTTCACAGCTGTGTTGTTGTTGATCTGTGGCAGTCTCTGAGTGGCATCTATTGTCTGAGTGTGTTTTGGTGTGCCGTCGCTAGAGGGTCGGAGCTGGAACTAAAGCACTCTCTGTGGGGGAGTTTTTAACTAGTGAACAAATAACCGTGCTGCAACACCCCTCCTCTTCACCGGATCTAGCCCCCAGTAACTTTTTTCTGTTCCCGAAACTTAAGGAAATATTGAAAGGAAGACATTTTGATGATATTGATGACATCAGGTGTAATACGACGGCGGCTCTGAAGGCCCTTCCACAAAACCAGTTCCAAAATTATTTTCAAGGGTGGAGTAGTCGCTAGCATCGGTTTATAGCTTCCAACGGCAGTACTTTGAAGGCGACCACAGTGATATTCAGCAATGAAATATGTAGCAATTTTGCTGCGACAAGTTCACGAACTTCATTGTCAAACCACGTATGCCCTATAAAATATTTATTGAGTTTATGGAATTCCATTAAGCTGTATTTTAAAATCCACAAAATATTTATCACGTTTGAATATAAGCCTAGGAAAATAGAGGAACTATTTATACTATTTTTTATAATTTTTTATATTTGCTACAGTGAATTATTCTCTGATACGGGCGCTTGCAAACCGCTGTAAGGAAAAGGTTATGTTCAATAAAGTGACCCAATGTGGCCAAAATAGGAATTTTATTTTCATAAAAAGTAAGTAAAGGTATCCCTGTAACAGGCCGTGGAGGCCCATAGGGTTGTGAAATGTTGAGATTCCTACATTTTCTAGACAATCGGCTCATAGATGGCGGTAAGGTTGTCAGCCTTGCGCGTCGGCCGCCCTTTACCCCCAAGAATATTCCTGGTACTCATTTCTGTTAGACGCTGAGTCGACCCCAGGGCCATAGTGCGGCCGGAAGGATTAGGTAAATTGAAAAATCAACCTCACCGGGATTCGATCCCCCGACCTTCCGGCTTGTAACATAGTGCCCCAACCAACTACGCTAGCCGTGCCCCATTTCATTTTCATAACACATGCAAAATACAGAAGGAACGCTTTTTCCAGTGGAATAATATGTTTTTTCTTCTTTTTTTTCTGTGAGATGTAAACCAACCCACAGTTTTCAGTTTAAATATTCAATCTGTTTATCGGAAAGCTGTTTAAGCTTCCAAGAGGTCCAGTATCAGCTGTTGTGACGGAAATATCTTAATTACATCGATTATATCTGTAACGGTTCCCGTAAGTTTCTTGTGAATGTAGAATATTGCAAATAGATTATTGTGTTAGTTTGAAAGCAGCTTAAGGGCGTGTCGTATCGAGCGACTAGGATTCGGCTCCGTACGCAATGTCGGCGGACTAGTGGAGTTCTGTGAGCGGAGAACTCTGTTACTAACACTGTGTTACTATTCCGTATTTCTGTATTAATGCATTTTTCTTTCATCAGTGCCTGCCTGTAATTGGCTTTTAGCTGTTGTCAACCACCTTAATAAAATAACTGAAGTATTTTTGTTACTATTAGCATCAGGCACCATAATCGTCTTCCATCTTACTTACTTACTCATGGAGTTGAGCCCTTCTGGAGGAGCCGACAATTCTGCAGCTACTCAAGAATTTCCCAGCTTTTTATGGAACCCGAAGCTTCAATACTGTGTTCACAAGAGCCCTCCACTGGTCCCTATCCTGAGCCAGATAAATCCAATTAATACCATCCCATCCTATCTCTCTAAGATCCGGTTAATATTGTCCACCCACCTACGCCTTGGTCTTCCCTGTGGTCTCTTTCCTTCTGGCTTTCCCACCAATATCCAATACGCATCCCTCGTCCCACCCATTCATGCTACATGCCCTGTCCATCTCATCCTCCTTGACTCGATCATTCTAATTATACTTGGAGAAGAGTACAAGTTATGAAGCTCCTCATTATGCAGTTTTCTCCAACCTCCTGTCACTTCATCTCTCTTCGGTCCAAATATTCTCCTCAACACCCTGTTCTCGAACACCCTCAGTCTATGTTCCTTCCTTAAAGTGAGAGACCAAGTTTCACACCCATACAGAACCACAGGCAAAATTATAGTTTTGTATATTCTAATTTTTATGTTTTTGGACAGCAGACGTGAAGACAAAAGGTTCTGGACTGAATGGTAGCAAGCATTACCCGAGTCCAATCTCCTCTTAATTTCTTCCTCAATCAGGTTTGTTCTGTTATCGTTGTTCACAAATATCTGAACTGTGCCACATTTTCAAAACATCTGTTTCCTATCTTTATATCATGATTTTGCCCTACATTTTGGTGACGAGACAGCAACATATACTTAGTTTTCTCTGTGTTTACTTCTAGACCAACCTCTTTACTTGGGTCAATTAAAATTTGTGTGTTTTTCTTTATGGTATCTACATTATCACCCAGTAGATTCACATCATCAGCGTAGACCAACAGCTGATGTGTCCCGTTTAATTTCAGTCCCACCTGGTTTCCCTGGACCTTCCTAATGGCATATTCTAAAGCAAAGTTGAAAAGGAGTGGCGATAAAGCATCTCCTCGTTTTAGACCATTCTGGATAGGAAATTTATCAGACCATCTTATCCCTCATAATTTTAGGGCAGTTGGCCTGCTTCACTCACTCACGGAGAAGCCGCCAATTGTGCAGCTACTAGAATTCCCCAGCATTTTATGGAACCCCGAAGGTTCATCACCGTGTTCACAAGAACCCTCTAGCGGTCCATATCCTGAGCCAAATCAATCCAATGCAACTAATGAAACGTAGGTTTCCTCAGTCCTTCTAAACTGGGAACCAGTTGCCAGTTTTAAATCGGCGATTTTTCTCTGAAATTGCGGTTGCGTTGCAGTTGCCAGTTTCCTCTGTGTGCCCCCCCCACCCTTATAGGGCCGAAAAATGTCGCGACAATGGAATAAAATGTGAGTTTAATGACATTTTAAGAAATATAAATGTGATTGTAATTGACATTTTAAACTAAAAGTTTATGTTGCATGAGACACGGAAACAAATGGACGAGTGCTGAATTGTACTAATTTTGTTTATGATAGGTCATTACAGCAGGCCTTTCTACTGATCTGGAGATTCTCCTTAGTTTGGAAGAAGCAATTTTATACTCCCCCCCCCCCTTTCTAGTGTTTGTGTTATGTTAATATTGTTTACTTAAGTGCGCATTGTGTTCAGCCAAACAGTTACTCGAGACAAGATGTTAATAAGGACACCATCAACTCTAAAGTCAACTGCTTACGCAAATGAGGAAGCAAAGAGCACGTTATAAAATAAAGCAGCCTTCTGTTCCTACTTGAAAACAATTGTCATTCTAGTCCTTTTGAATATAAGCGATTGACTTTATTTTAGTGTAAATCAGGCTAGCCTTCCTCGTATTAATAACGTCACACATTATTGTGAAATACACGTCACCGATAGATGAACTTGTTTATATCCATTTAATTATATCTGGATTCAATTGAAGTGACAGGAGGTTGGAGAAAACTGCATAATGAGGAGCTTCATAACTTGTACTCTTCTCCAAGTATAATTAGAATGATCAAGTCAAGGAGGATAAGGTGGATAGGACATGTAGCACGAATGTGGGAGACGAGGAATGCATATAGGATATTGGCGTGAAAGCCAGAAAGAAAGATCCCACTGGGAAGACCAAGGCGTAGGTGGGTGGACAATATTAAAAAGGATCTTAGAGAGATAGGATTGGATGATATGGATTGGAGTGATCTGGCTCAGCATGGGGACCAGTGGAGGGCTCTTGTGAGCACTGTAATGAACCATGGGGTTTCATAAAATGCTGGGAAATTCTTGAGTAGCTGCAGAATTGGCGGGTCTTCAAGAAGGGCTCAGCTCCGTGAGTAGGTAAGTGTGAAGGATTCAAATCTTCATATCACGCTGTCTTCCGAATCATCATCGTCCTTAGAAGGTAACTGGATAAGGTGTGAGGAGATAACAATAAGTACTACTCAGTAGAAGTTCAAATCAGTTTTAATTATTTCAGTCTGATATATAACAGTGAACTTAGTCACTCCTTTAACATCCTGCAGATGTCTAATCTAAACACTGCAGGGGGTGATGGCAGCCAGGGTCTTGCCACTGCACTTGTTCTTCCAACCGTACCATGCCGAAAAGCCGTGGACCTGGTAAATTTTTTTGGCACATGCAATGTCGTCAGTGACATCGTCGTCCAGAAGTTCTGCAGAAGAGGAAGATACTGTTTCAGTGACGGTGTTGCGGCCATGTTACAAGTGAACATCATATTCATAATTATCCGTGGCTTCAGTTTAGTTAACCGCCTCTGCTGTCTTGTGGTCAGAGTTCCTGGCTACAGATCCTGAGGTCTCGGGTTTGGTTCCCGGCCCTACCAGATTTTCTGAGAAATAGTGGGTCTGGAACGGGGTCCACTCAAACTTGTGAGGATAACTGAGGAGCTCCCTAAATTGGAAAGATAGCGGCTCCGAGATTAATGGCCGTGGGGATCCTTTGCCCTGACTACGTGACACCCTCTATCCGCTAAAGTTGACACTAACTTCATCGAAAAGTGGCGGTCTCTCGGTCAGTATAGTTCGTTTGCAGACTACAGACCACGGAGTTTATTTTGTTTTCAGTTTAGTTAAGTTACCAACATTTGGCAAGGTACTAACCTTGTATACTTTCGCTGAGGGTTACTGGCTACGGGTCAGTAGTGATTAAAGATGATGTGAAATGAAGGTCTTACTTGAGCGCGGTTTTGTGGACAGATATTCTTACTGAAGCCATACACATGAGGTTCGATTCTGAGCACTCCTTCACGACAGCCCCCTGCCCCGACTTTCAAAAGCGTTCTGCTACATCTCACATAGATCATGTGAAGGAGCTTATGTCTTTTTTCGAATTCCCTTACCGCTTTAGTCCATCACCAGAGAACACCAGAGAACATCATGTATTATGAATATATCACTTATTTTAGTTTAGTTACCTTTCAATTTTCTGAGATGAAAACATGCGACATTATCCCTTTATGCATGTCATTTCGAGTGTAGCTGTATAGCTATGTCCTCCATAATCATACATTGATTGACTCAGGCATTGAAATATATTTTTTAAGTTATAATGCGTAAAGTGGTTTCTTCCCCAAATTATATAAAAATTCAGAATATTCAGTAATATCTTCTTTCAGCATTATGCATATTGGCATCATTTTACTGTTACTTATTAAGACATAAAATAAGAAATGAACGGATACCCAGATCACTGAAATATTTTAAAGTGGTTCCAGAGGTTTGTGGACTGATAGCATCATAGCAATATGGGAATCTTCCTGCTTGCTTCTTGCTACTTGCTTGCTTACCATACCTTCCACCCAGAGGATGGAGGCGGTATGTTCCTCTGATACTTCAGCTATCTTCTACCAGACTATCTGGCGTAACATTCCAGGAGACAGTAGGCCTATATTTTTGCCGTTATAGTTTGGGGTACTTACTGCTACAGGCGATATTACAGTCTCCTGCCGGACCGTTGAGCCCACACCAGTATTTGCTGTTTACCTATACACAGAGGGAACAAGACAGATTTAGTGACACAAGCGACGTGCAGACTGGTATTTACAGGTTTCTGGCTTACAGAAATTATTAAACAAATGACGGAATCGTATACATTTCACTAAGTTACTTGTTCAACGACGCTACATATATCGAAACGATAAGCGTCGATTTTTCCAGATTACTTGTTTACATAGACAGATACTTCCGCTGTGTGCTTATACAAGTACTGTTTCAGAACTACAGTAATCAGGTTTAATAATTAAGAGTAATATACCGTTGGTTCAGTTAGTAAAGGGATTGGCTACAGACTGGACGACCGGATTTCAATTCCAGGTGGAAAATTGTGCATTATCAACACGCCCAACCCAAAATTCAGCAGATAATGTTGATTCTCTCTCCAGAGGACACAGAGGCTTCTGTCGAGGTGAAAATGGCGTGCTGCTTATGCACGGGGAAGCACTAATCTGTATGTACTGTTAATTTGGTAGTCACGTGGTCGATTAGAAACGTGACGTGAGCAACACAGTGACAATAGAGATCTGAGGCTCTCATTGCGGTGACTGTGACTGCTTCTTCTGGGATGTGATGCCATGTTAGTATGTTTCGGAGGAACCTGCTGCCTCCGTTCTCAAGATGAAAGAATATTTTTCTACTCTGATAACTTTGGCAGTAGATTCCTCTCAAATATTTGTACATATCTACGAAACTACACGGCGTCACATCCCAGAAGACAGCAGTTCTCCTGGCGTTAGTGAAATGTTGGTGAAATGCACTGATACTACGTTAATCAAGGCCTGCACAGTATCTGTCTGCATATGGCTCTACAGCCCTTTTGTTGGACCTTGGCCGTTTTTCACTTTCCTGGTCTTTTACACAGCCTGTAGGACTCCTTGAATGGGGGATCAGCCCTTCGCAAGGCCTCTACCTGCAAATGCAAGACAGCACAAACACAGAATAAACGTACACAGACATCCATGCCTCAAGTGGGAATCGAACCTAGGCTCCCAGTGTTTGAGCTGGCGAAGACAGTCTATGCCTTCGACCAGTAGTTCTCAACCGCCGGGCCCTGGCATCAATTGTGCTGCGCCCTCGTCTTATAAAAAAATAATTTACCGGACCGCGGTCTCACAAAGGTTGAGAACCACTGCCTTAGACCGCGCGACCACTGTAATCGGCGCCTGCGCAGTATGAATGATAATAAATAATGCAGAAAGAAGGCTTCTTTCTTCCCTCTTAGTAAATTCTCTTTTGCAATTCTATTTAACGTTCAATCGGTTTGCCTTTCTTTTAATCTGCCGGATATGTGGGGCACTTTGGACGAATGGGTACCCCGGAAGACCTATATACAGGACAACACAGAAAAGATCCAATATAGACCCACAAGGTGAATTTGGATTCTGAGTCTGTTTTATGTCACGACCGACGGTCAGTCGGCCATTCTGACTTGGAATAAAACACCCATCTGGGGCTTACGACTAGATTTCTATCACTGTCAGACCGTTGCTGGTCTCGCTGACAAGAGGACGGGTCTGTTGTTTACAATTGCTGCTGGCCCTTGCCAGCGCAGTCATTCTCATGTCCGAGTCCCATGGGACTCGTCACTATTTTTCACTGTCTCAATTTCGAGACTTCCATATTTGTCGCCTCCTGCGACTCGCAGGGCTACGGTTGAGGTATTCGACCCCGCCACCACACGGGGTAGATTTTGATTCGAACCTGCGACCCCCCCTTTTTATAGTACTCTGTTGTATGGTAGACTTACCTGAAAGAGACCATAGTCGTAACTACCGTTGCTGTTGGGTCCGCCTTTGGCTGCCGTATTCCCTGAGCTTTCGCTCATTATAAGACACACCCCTGAGGACACGAGGACATCGGGTCATGTGATGCTTGTGGGCGAGAAACAAGTAGAACACTTGTGCAACGACCCAGCTTGTATATTTGTTTACCTTCTGTTTCAAGAGACATATCAGGCTTTGCAGTTAAAATACTGTTCAGAATTTTGCCTTCTTGTGTGATTACTACATGTTCAAGCTAGTGTTCGCGTGCCCTGGAAACTTTTTGTCTTGAAAGAGTACAGGCTGAACTCCGAAACTAAATTAAGGATGGAATACAAGGAGGAGAAGAGAAAGTAAAGAAATGAGGCCGTGCCATAGCTCAGGCTTTTAGTCGCCGACTTCCCACCGCGGCGGCCCGTGTTCGAGCTCAGGTCAGGCCATGTGGGATTTGGTGGACAAAGTGGTATTGGGGCAGGTTCTCTCCGAGCACTACGGTTTTCCCTGCCAATTCTCATTCTACCGACTGCTCCACAATCATCATCTATCATTGAGAGCTGGTACAATAGGCCAGGTAGTGGCCGACGTACCAAGTATACACAATCTCATCCCACCTCAAGAAACTAAAAAAGTAAAATACAAAAGAATAAATTATTGTAGATATTTTGTATGGTCTTTACTCTAAAGTGTCTAAAATTAAGATCTAATGTTGAGAGCGTATGTGTTCATTAGGCTTCAGGTATTACCTTCGAAACGTATTTCGACAAAATTTAGTATTGTTACTCCACTCTAAAAGATGCGAGGTGAATTTAATTTTTCTTATTACATGCATAAGGCTCCTACTTTACACGAAACTCAAAACGAACTGGATCGAATTCCCCAGAATGGCACATGAAACAAATAATATGTACATGTACTTCTCCTTAATATACAAAAATATACAGTTTTCATTGCACGAATATTTTCGACGTGATGAATATTTAACTATTATTTTTTATTGCAATTAGGGTGGGACTAAGTCCCTAGTACTGCGGCCACTTCTGGGCTATTGTACCAGCCCCAGATGATAGGTGAGGGTGATTGTGGAGCAATTGGTGGAGTGAAGATTGTCAGGGGAAACCGAAGTACTCGGAGAAAACCTGCCCCAGCGCCACTTTGTCCACCACAAATCCCACTTAACCATACACGGGATGGAACCCGGGCCGCCGCGATGGGAAGCCGGCGACTAACCGCTTGAGCTACGGCGCGGCCCTAATATTTAACTAAATACACTGGAAAATAACTTTGCACTATGCAGTATGATTTCTAATGATAATAGCTTTGTAACGTGAGATTTTTATATGTAATAAATGGAAATCTGGTCGCAAAACCGCAAACAACTCTTTATGTATAGCCTGCTACTGTTTCTGCAGTGTCAGAACGTTTCTTCTCCGAAACCAGTTCACACATTTCATTAAAATTCGTTATGGGAGTCTGCACTAGAGTTTGTCAGGTAAATTTAATTTTGGTCCATTTGAGTAACTACCAATTTAATTGAAGTTTCTCAAAAAGATAAAGCTATCCCTGTAACAGGTAATGGAGGGCCATAGGGATATGAGAGGTCCAGGCTTCCACGCTTTCTAGACAATCGGCTCACACATGGTGGTGAGGTTGTCAGCCTTACGCGCCGGCCGCCCTTTACACCCCCCCAGGAAGATTTCTGGCACTCATTTCTGTTAGAGGCTGAGGCGATCCCAGGATCATAGTGCGGCTGGAAGGATTAGGTCAATTGAAAAAGTCCACCTCATTTGGACTCGAACCCGCGACCTTCAGGCTTGTAGCACGGTGCCTCAACCAACTACGCTACCGCGTGCCCCACCAAGTTAATCTGATTAAGAAATAAACGTCGCGTTAACTGTGTGATATATGCGTTCGAATATTATTACTCATTCTGTTAAATCCCCAGTTTTATGGACCCAGCGGTTCATCATCTTGTTCATAAGATCCCGGCAATGAATCTTGTTCTTAGTCGGTAGAATCCAGTCAATCGCCATAGGCTAATCTCTTTCCCCCATTGATTTCTTCATACGTGGTTGTTAAACCTAATGTTTGCATATTCCTTATTCATGTGAAGCTCAAATGGAACTTGTTCAAATGCTCGGACAGTTTTATTGAGACCGAACTCTTGTCTAATTTACCTCCTGTCAGAGCCTCGCCTTGCAGTTGCTAAAATAAAGCCCAATGCATGATGATGTTAGTTTTTAACATAACGCATTTGTGCTGGCTGGTTTTTGAATGAAAACTAATTCCTATTTCTGTCGGAGCCACTTCAACTCTTCATCTGACACTGTCTTCATCTCTCTTGCAGGATTTCGCACTTCAAGCGCTTTTCCACCTCTCAAAATAATATTTCGCTTGGATGGTTCAGCTACATTAAAATGCAAAGCCTTTTTTTCTCGATAATCTTCTGTCACTCCATCTTATGTGTCAGACTCTGTGAGTGGCTAGACTAGGGTATAGTATCGAATGGTAGGTTGTAAGATGAAGTGGGAAAGAATTTGGAAGGAAACAGTCTTGGTCTAATCGAGATATTTTTCCGGTATTCGCCTGGAGGAACTGACGAGAACGACGAAAAAAATTTTAGTCAGGAAAGCCCGTGCCCCAACCGATATTCGAACCGGTAATCTCTCAAATGTAAGAAGTGTTACGGCATGGGCTAAATTGCTCGGTTCTGGGTGCAAAACTTTCAAACAGAGAGGCACAACCCCACGGTAATGCAATTAGCTCATTCTGCACACCTTGTCTTTATGTCAAATGTTAGGTACGCTACTTCATGCAAGATAAGTTCACTAGCTACAACGTCCTTATTTAATACAGCTTTAAAGACAAGCGTGTAATAAAAATAAATGTCCAAAATTTTATAATTCTACATCACGTGAAATAAAGTGAACTCAATGTTGTGGGTGTATTTAATCACGTGGTACACAAATGAATCTTGAGGATACGCGCAGTTACCGACCTTAATATGCTGTACACACAAGAATGTTTACTGCTTCTGCAGTATGTCCGAAATAACGTACATTTCCCTTCACCGAAAATAAGGTAGGATGTATAGATCCACATTTTCTTAACCTCGGCAGTCGTTGGAGGTGAGTGGTCAGCTTCACGCCTCGGCCGCTTTACCTCTGGGGAAAGAGCCCCCAGTACCCACTGAACAGGAGGCTGGGTGGGCCCCGGAGTCGGTTTGGACGGCGTGGAGAGGAGAAATTTCTTAGCCGTACCGGGACAGAACTCCGACCTCTCGGTCATCCAGCACGTAGCCAGTCGCTATACCAATTGCGCTATCCCGGTTCCCAAGTAGGAAGTGACTTTTGAAAATAATTGTGACCAAAATTTGGAAATTTATCATGAAACAACGGTAGTGTGGTATTGCATTGCAAGTAGCTGTCTTTTTCCGTTTTTGACTTTGAGTTTCTGCTCTGTCTGAAGTCAGGATAAATTGGCTGGAGAGACTTCCGAGACCTTAACGTCGCTTGACATCGCGAGAGCACTTCTAGTGTCGTTCCGCTGAACCTACGAGACTTAGAGCTCTTTGTTTATTGCACGGTGTGCGGCAGTGGGATGTCAGGGGAATTGCGCGCGGACCATCTCAGCAAACAGTGGCGGACAGTTCGAGACACTTGCTCTTGGTCTTCGGAACTTGAGGCCGTTTTAATGACTGCAATCTCAAATTCTCTTTCAATGTCTATGCATTTTTGGCATTTTATATACCTCCTTTTTTTTTTGTGAAAAGGATAAAAGAATGCAGGACAGGAAGGTCAAGGCTGTCTGTCTCTTCGTTTGTGTGCAACATCCAAAACTTTTATAATGACCTCAATTTCATATTGGGGTCTACACGTAACGTTGTTGTGTGAAGTCTGTTATGGTCCACGCTGATTCAACGTATCTTTATTTTATTTATGGTTTATTTAACAACCTACCGCCTCTGTGGTCTAGTGGCCAGAGTGCATGGCTGCAGATCCAGAGGTTCCGGGTTCGATCCCCAGAGCTGCCAGATTTTCTGAGAAGTAGTGGGTCTGGAACGGGGTCCACTCAGCCTCGTGAGGATAATTGAGGAGCTATTTCAAGGAAATAGCGGCTCCGGTCTAGAAAACCGAAATTAACGACCGTGGGGATTCGTTGCCCTGACCACTCGACACCCTCTATCCGCAAGAGTTGGCACTAACTTCGCCGACAAGCGGCTGTCGCTCGGTCGGTATAGCTCGCTTGCGGACTAAAATTATGGAGTTCTGTATTTTTATTTAACGACACCGTAAGTAGCTCAGAATTCATAGTGTCGAATGGTAGGACGATCGGTGAATAATTACTCAAAAAATTTTGTCAGGATGCATCTAGAAAAGTCACGAAAAACCTCAGGACAGTCGGTGTTCCGGGCGAGATTCGAACTAGTCACCTCTCGAATACAAGTCAGAAGCTTCACTACCTGAGACGACGTGCTTGGTTGATTCTAAATAGACGCACGACATGAAACGAAAATCCTTTATATTGTATATTTTCTCGAAAACAATCGAATAATAAATACATACACGTTATAAAATGTTGATCTTAATGTCGACAGAACTTTGGCCAATGTAAAACGTTTTTCGAGCGGAGTAAATTTAAAGAATATAAAGAGAAATAATCCGAATCAACTTATTTTTATATATGTTTTATATATTATAACTGCAACGGTGCTGCCATCTGCCCTAAATGAATGCCAAGGCGATGTGATAAGGGAAGGCAAGGTTCACATTTCTATCTAAGTGCATAAATTTGCATTCAGTGCATAGCCTATGGTGGGTCGGAATTCATTTAATTCTGATAAATATTATAAATTAAGTAATTTTTTGGAACGACATCGACTGAGCAGATCTGTAAGCTTGAAGTTCTTTGATATGTTTCTGTATGCAGAACGATGTATCGAAATTAAATATAACTCGTGCATCTGCTTATATTGCGAATGAGGTACAGTTACGTTCAAATTCCTGCATCACAATGTGGAGAACTTTTCATCTGTACATTATTAAGAATGGGACTTGTAAATTGCAACATTTAATTTAACATTATATAACTAAAGAAATTTAATTACTAAAGATAGTTTTATTTTACATTTTACTTCGGATTTTAATTTTATTACATTATTAAATAACCAGTTCAGTTTATATTTTAAAACAAATTAATCAAGGGACCAACCGTTTTTTAATTTTATGGTAGGAAAGTTTCCAAACCGGTTATGGAGTTCACCCAAACTCCTATACAATTGGTACCAGGGGCTCTTTCCCGAGGGTAAAGCGGCCTGGGCGTGAAGCGACCACTCACCTCTAACTAGTGCCGAGGTCAAGAAAATGTGGATCTACACATCGACTCGCACGTACGCCTTCATGGAGTGGTGCTTAATTATTTAAGCTCAGGGACAACTTTACCTTTACCTTGTACATATACATGCATGGTTTTAAAAATAAGCTGTCCTGAAAAGACTATCGACCCAAGGAAAGAGTTGTGAGAAATGACAGATGAGTTCTGAAAGACTAGAATAAAAAAGTGGGACTCATGAGAGCGCTGAGGTCGAAAACATGTAGTTGAGTTAACTGCATACAAGTAAAAGTAAATCTATCCCTGTAACAGGCCGTGAAAGCCCATAGGGTTGTGAGACGTTGAGGCTCCCACATTTTTCTAGACAGTCTGCTCATAGATGGCGGTAAGATTGTCAGCCTTACACGCTGGGCGTCTGTTAGCTCCAGAAAGATTCCTAGTACTCGTTTGTTAGAGGCTGAGTCGACCCCAGGGCCATATTGCGGCTGGAAGCATTAGCTAAATTGAAAAAAAGAATCCACCTCATCGGGATTCACACCCGCGACCTTCCGGCTTGTAATTTAGTGTCTCAACCAACCACGCTACCGGGTGCCCCAACTGCATACATGACGAGGCAGAAAGACCACATTTCGTGATTTGTAATACGGTATTTGGGGCACATCACATTTTCTTTTTATATTAAAGGATATCAGGAAAAGTGCTTTAATATTTCCGTTCATTTATTTATGGAAACTGAAGGTTCACATGCTAAAACGAAAGCGTATTTCCGCCTATACTCCCAGTTTCATTAGTAATGAGACCACGCCCTGGGACCTGGACGCGACGGTCAACGAAGTTGAAAATGGATTCAAGTCGCCACATAAAGAGATACCAGTACGAACTCCGTATTGGTCTCCGTCAGTATAACGTTTTGTATAGGCGTATTACACGTTAAAATTTTATTATATGTTTTGGTCATCATCATGTATTATGCATTCCTCTTAGCTTGATTGTTCCGTCTCTAAGGCCAATGCTATGTTTGATATATTTAATTGTGGTTCTTTCACATTGAAATCTAATGTACTATATATATCTTTCATTAAAGTGTTAAACATTGACATGCTCTGCATGATGATACTGAATTGCTGCCGGAAGCAGCGTCATCAGCAGCGACTTGAAGCACAGAGCAAATGATGCTCGAGATGGTTCAAGTTCGTATAGCAACAGGCGTGACCAGAGTGGTTTGAACGGCTGCTGTACTGCGATGTGGAAAGCAAATGGAAAAACTACCACATTATCACTTTTCCTGGATAGTCTCTTTCCAAAAACAGAAGATCGCATTAAGTGGAGGAACTGTTTTGGGAGAGACTGTGGACCTGTCATCTGACAGATTACTATTGAATTGAATTGAATTTGATGGATTTGTTTAGGTTAATTTTGCGGTGTTTATATATGTTTGGTGCTTCGTAACTTATACTCTTCTCCAATCGTAGCTAGAATGATCAAGTCAAGTAGGGTGAGATGGACAGGGCGTGTAGCACGAATTGTGTGGTAGAGGAATTTACATAGGATATTGGTGGGAAAGCCAGAAGGAAAGAACTGCTTGGAAGACCAAGACGTAGGTGGGTGAACAATATTAAAATGGATCTTTGGGAGATAGGAATGGGATGGTATGGTATGGATTAGTATGATCTGGCTCAGAAAAGGGGCAGTGGAGGGCTCTTATGAACACGGCAATGAACCCTCGGGTTCTATAAAATGCTGAGAAATTCTTGAGTAGCTGCACAATTGGTGGCTTCTCAAGATGAGCTCAACTCCATGAGTGAGTATATTTATTTGGTCTCTATTGGGCGTCTGGTTGTGTTTGTTATGTTGTTGCTCTTAATGTTGTTTCTGGTTGTGATCTGTATTGGTGAGTATTGCGCCGTGGAGATTATTTATGTGGAAGTGGTCTGTTTCCGTATTATGCGCCAGAAATTTTAAATATAATAACTTATTATTAGAAAATATATAAATTATATTCTTTTAAATTATTACTTTCATTTGCTTTATTGGTATAACATCACGCCGCACAATGAAGCAGGAAAGAAACACGACGGATCTTAGATCGAAGATGGATTAAAACTTTTATTTGGGGGGGGGCGCTGAAGAGGTTGTTGCAAAGTACGGCGAACCGGACACTCTCGCTAGAAAATTTCTGTGCCTACTAAATAGCTATTATTTTTATGTACTAACATGACATAATGTACATGTACCCAACTAATTCCATGACGCAGAGTTCTCAAAAAGGCTATAATCGCTCCCTTAGCCAACAGATCCCTCCAGCCTGAAGTGACTGGAAGGTTCCATGAGGCCGCAGCTGGATCCTGTATGTGTACAACATACTTCCTAAGATCCTTTCTAAGCGAGAATCTATAAGCAGCTGGTCACTTACAGTCGGGGATAAGGCTCTTTGTAAAGCCATGGTTCTGCAGGATTGTGGCCAGTTGACACTCCTTGTAGACCTTGCCTGCTGCTGGTTCGATGATGGCCACCAGGGCCACAACGAGAAGAATCACGGTTTGGCGTTCCATTTTTGTCCACCAGAGAAGATGATGCTGCGAACAGATGTATAAAGTTGCGAGGAAATAAGTTATCTTTTGATCGGAGAATTTGTTTGATTGTAAGAGACGCGGTTTACTTTCTAGAGTTATCCGTCAATCGGCTTTCCTAACTGACTCTCTCACAGAGTATTACTCATGGCACTAGAAAACTAACTCCATATCGCAGATATTCCCTGAAGATGTATAATTACAGGAGCCGCCAGTAAATTCCCGACTTTATGAAGCGAAAAATTCGTTATCATATTTGTAGGATCCCGTCAGTGGAAGCTATAGTTCAGTCCACCGGTTTGTACTCCAGTTATCTAACATCCATTTTAAATATATTCTTCCATCTACGCCTTGATGCCTCCAGGGGTGTCTTCCCTAATCTGCCCCATGTATGTCCCCTATTTCATTGTGTCTGATTTAATAACGTTAATAATAGTATTAATAATGATGTTCGGTGACCAGTACAAATTATGAATTGTGAAGTGACGATAATAAGCATAATCATTATCACGTTGTCATGTATGAGTGGTGTGCGTGGCGAACAATAATGGGTTGTGTATTGAATGATTTGATTTATTGAATTTCTTTATAATTACAGTCAACTCTGCCAGCTCACAGTCAATGACTGCCTAAGACTCGCTCCATTCCTTTCTGGACTACGAGTGTCTCCTCTTCCACTGTGACGAATGACGAATGAAGGATCCCTTCCTACTGAGGTGAACGAACTCTGCTGAGAGTTCTCACGTGTCCTCCCTTTATAACTTCGGGAGAATCGACTTCCGCAACTGTTTGTTGCTATTCCGACTCTCAGGCGGTGTTTATCGAACCGTTGCCTAGCAGTGGTCATATTTGTCACAATATTCACACGTGAACAAAACTCGGATGGACAGACGCTACCTCCTCAGTACGTGCATATATTGTTTTCATCACTTCGTGCAGGTAATGACTATGAGTATGAGGGGTGAGCCATAAAACTGGCCCTCGCACTGCGACCTTCAATGGTCTATTGTGCTTCAGGTAATGACTCCAATGAACTGCCCGTGTTCTTGGCGTTTCAAATCTGTTGGTTTAGACGATATTGAATGCAGATGCAGGAATGCACACTGGCAGGTGTAACATCCGGGCAGTACAAATAAGGAGTGTGTGTATCAAATGAGGTGTGTCTCTGTAACTGTGTGTCTTAGGGGCGTACTGATGAGAGTGGTTTGTTTACCACACATAGAGATAATGTACAACGCAGCTGCAACAAGAGTCCACTGTTTTCCTTCTTTCAGGTGTGGACAGATTGAACACCTCAGTATTATTGAATGAATTTCTGGATTTGTTTCTCGCTCGGGATTCCGAAAAATTGTGTTCTGTTGGCAATAGCAGAAGGTCAACAAAGTCAAGGAATCCAGTAATGCTAAGCACAATCGTTTTTAAAATTCAACATATATTTGTATTTTAATTTTGATGTGTGGTACTAATTGCGCGAAACAAGAGTTTGTTTCGAAATCCGATCATGTAGAGCTGGTTTAACTAGTAGCGACGCATCGCGCCTTCTAATAGAAATTGTTTTCATTGCAGCATCTTCCTTCAGCTGTCGAACCTTATTCACCTCATCGAGAAATTCGCTGTCATGGAGCACGGGGCTGTACGATTGTGATGAAGATGCCCGCTTTAGGCCTGACCCAGTTGGCTGGCATCTGCAGAATCCGTTTATTGATGTTTCACTTTCACCCTTGTACGCCTGTATGTTCCAAGTGATATCGTTCTTTGAGATTATCGAACCGAAAGTATATATACGTGTATATACATACACAGCGGCCTCCCTAGTCTAAGGGTAACGTTCCCACCTCATGACTCAAGGTACGCGGGTTCAAAAACCCGGCGGAGGTCGTGGAATTTTTAAGGGCGGAAAAAGTCCTCCGGGAGGGACTTTAAGCCGTGGGTCCCGTGTCGTAGATTTACGGCACGTAAAAGAACGTCATGTCTCTAGGAGACCTCTGAGCTAAATTAGGCCAAAAAGTTTCCCGCCCAAGTAGTTTTCAATGCCTCCGGTAGATGGGGAAGTATTGGGTACCACTGCCAGAGGAGGGACGACCTCGCTGACAGAAAGGGACTAACTATTAGATACCACTGCCAAAGTAGAGGGTAGAAACCTTGCTGGCAGAAAGGGGCTGATAGCGAGCACCAGTACCGGTAGGGGATGGAGACAGTAGACAATAGACTATCAGTCGCGGTGCATGGGGAAACCCACCCCCTCAATACTGAATAACTGAATACATACATACGCGCGCGCGCACACACACACACACACACACACAAGCATACACCTTGTATATATATTTTCTCCCACACACGATATGTTCCCGGCCCTCTCATTTTAATTAACTAGTCCTATTATCATCATCATCATAAGAATTTAATTCCGTTTTATAGCTCTTTGTTGGACCTTAGCCGCTTTTTCATTTTCATGATCCTATATACAGACGGTAGGACTTCTTGAACGGGACATCAGCCCGTCGCAAGGCCTTTACCTACACACAGAACTACACAAACACAGAATAAACGCACACAGACATCCATGCCTTGATTGGGATTCGAACCCACGACCCCAGTGTTTGGGAAGAAGACACTTCACGCCTTAGACCGTGCGGCCACTGTAATCGGCTCCTCCTTCTCCACCTCCTCCTCCTCCTCCTCCTCCTCCTCATCATCATCATCATGTACAAGCACGGTATATATTGCTACTGTGTTTCATGAACGTGAATTTAGCTTTATTTCAAACTATACGTTTTACAGGTGTAAGATATACTCGTACTTGATTATGTTGTTGTTGTTATTGTTGTTGGTATTGTTGTTGTTGCAGTCGTCATCTTTGTCGTTATCATCGTCATCATTGTCATCATTCCACAATTTTCGTAATTACGTTTGCATTGGTGATTCATTCGGAGTTGTGTATTTATTGTCCTGTGCAGTGTCAGCCCTGGAAACCCGACCATGCAGAATTTCGCAGTCCGTTGAGCACGGGATTTAAGCTTGGAAAGTTAATGATTTTTTTAAGTGACGGAGCCAAAGCAGCCGCAATTCCTTACTGCTTTATGAGAGAATGAAACGTCCTAATTGGGTGCACATAAAGCTGAACGAACGTCAGTGTGAGTTCATGAAGATAGAACAACACGATAAAATGTCAACAGAAATCTTAAGTTTCTTAGCAAGACGAGGTTCATTAATGAACTGCACAGAAGGTACAGCGAGTACGAGAAGAGTCGTCGGATTTATTGTGCACGCATCCATTTTGTGCAGCTACAGTCTCTGGTCTCAGGTGGAAATAAGAACCGCAGCAATCCTGAATCAAAGTTTGCCTTCGGGTTGTGGCACCGCTTATCTTATCACGTTCTGACGATAAAATTCCACGTGTTGATTCCATTTTCAGATATTTTGATTCTGCTTCAAGAGCCTCCAACCATAATGATATTCGAGATCTCCTTAAGACTGGTCTTTGAAATAATTTTCTCAAACTCAGAATAGCTCCATAAATGAGCTTTATGAAAGTAATTTTAGTTCTACCGAAACTTTAAATTAGTAACATTTTAAATTAGCATTGTAATATGACAGCTGCATGTGAAGTTTGCTTCTTCCTGTCGAGGCATTTTCGAATTAGATAAGGAAGTGGGCCGCTATTATTTTAAAAGTGACAATAGGGTAATGATGTCCATTTACAATAAACGTTTAAAAAATTAACAAATTACTTGTTTTTGTAAGTATTAATTTATAATTGGATGGCCCCTATATACTGATGATACAACTAACGAAATGTACGTTATTCGGAGAAATTCCTGTAAAAATATTTACGAGTATTTTTTTCCTTGGAACTACAGCCCCAGTGGCCCTAAGCCTACCTCCATGAACTTCTCCGCTCACTTCGGTTTTTCTAGATCTTAGACATTTGGTAGGACTCCTTGGGCGGGTGATCAGCTCGTCGCAAGCCTCTACCTATACACAGACACAGAAAAACGCACACACTCAAACTAAACATCCATGCACTTAGTGGGATTCGAGCCCACAATCCCGGTTTCAAGCGATCGAAGACAGTACATGCCTTAGACCGCTCGGCTACCGTGACCGGCATTTACGAGTATGCAGTACGAAAATAACCTTCCTAAAGGAAAGTGCTGGTACCTGCGTAACTCTCTGCAGCGCAATTAAATAATATATTTTATACATAAATAAACACGTATTTCAACCACAAGAAACATTTGTGATGTACGCCAAATATACGAATAAACCTTCTTGCTTCAACAATTTGTATGTTCTGCTCAAGGAATTTCCATGGGCCGGCTTCGAAATCTCTCGTCATGATGTTTCGGACCGACTGGTCGATTCTGAAGTAACTGAAGATGTCAAATTAGCTGGGAAGATAATGAAGGAGTAGTGTCATGGACTCGGAATGGGGTTGGCCGTAGCCTTTTGACGTATCTTTGTCGTAATTGCCCAAATAAATTAAGGAAAACACTTAGAACCCAATTGGAGCCGGGATTTCGTAGTCGGTATAGCGACTGGCTACGGGCTGAACGACCGAGAGGTCTGGGTTCGAATCCCAAGGGGGTCAAGAATTTTCACTTCTCCATGTCATCCAGACCGGCTCTGGATTCCACCCCACCTATCCAATGGGTACTAGGGGCTCTTTCCTCGGGAGTAAAGAGACCGGGTCGTGAAGCTTATCACTCACCTCCAACAAGTGCTGAGGTCAAGAAAACCTGGTGCTACACATCCACTCCCCCATACGCTTTCAGTGCGTAATGCTTAATAAGTTAAGTACAGGGACAAATTTACCTTTTACCTTTACTAAGAACCCAACAGGAATAGCCCACAACTCCTACAGAAACGCGTACTGACAGTCCCCCGAATACAAGTGGAGATCATTGGCCCAACAACAGTCTGTTCGGTGGATTGTAATCTTGGCGATCGTTAAATAACATTTAGCGGTTCTTGTTTTATCACATGTCGCCTGTTTACTTAGT